GCTCATAAGAGGTGGATGTCAGAGCCTGTGAATTTCACTGCCATGGAAATGTTTTGTCTTCACGCCACCTTGTGGTCAAGATACAGAATCACTCGTGAGGATGAATCTCAAGACCTGCCAGATCATGTGTCTGCAAATACAATAACATTTCTTTATTTTCTGACCTTCACTTTGGTTGAGATAAGATGAGAAGAGAAGAGAAGAGATGAGGTAACCTTTGTTAAAGAAAACTGTATAAAAGAGTAAAATTATAATTCTACGATAACATTTAATGGTTTTCTTTTCTGACACACATGATTCATCTAATACACAATAATAACTGAGTCATTTTTGATTCCATAATGCCCATAGACACACAAACAATCAACATGTCCATGGATTATAATGTTTTTAGTTGTGTGAGTGTGATTATGTTCAGGAAAAACAGTGTGAGTCAGAAAACCAGCTGGAGGAAGTCGGGCTTCAGTGCACCAGAGTCCTGGGGCTGTAAGTCCAGCTCTGCCTGGAGGACGGAGCTGTCAGGTAGATCAGGTAGAGAGAGTGATAACACAAGATGACAGACTGAGAGGAGCAGGGCTCCATGAAACTCTCATCATGTCTTCCTTTTTAATACGGGTAACATTCTCAAGTTGTCAAGACACGATTCTTGATTCTTGACCCAAACAATGTCAATATGTAAATTCTGTAATCACACATTAAGTCCTGTAATCTTATAATTTTACTAGATAGAATCCCCCTCTCTATATATTTGTATATATGTGCCAAATAACTCTACACATGATTGTCTAGCTCTTACAGAAGAAATCATTCATTGTAAATATTATTATGACATTTTCTATGACGTGTATATTTTGTATTGCTGATAACTTGTGATACATCACGTGGGTTGGTCTAAATGGATTGTGGGTATTTAAGATGGTGACTGAGTTTGAGTTTCTCCTTTTTTCAAAATGTTCTTATGGTTAAAATGTAAAAGAAAAAAGGGAGTGGAATGATTTGTTGTCATAAAATATTCTTAAATAAAGTTTTAAAAAATCCTTTCTTCATCTGCACCAAAATTAAATGGGTTCTTCTCAGTACCAGGGCCCAGACATGATTATTCAAAGTGATGCCGTCAAATGTAAGAAAGGCGTCATTCAGGAGAATCAGAATGAGATGATCATTATTATATTGTATTATCATTGTTACATCTCATTTGTTTATCAGTTTGCAACACAAATGAAACATTTTTAATTTAAATTGTCTATTTCATTATGGTGACAATGCAAATGACAACAATTGAACTGGGTCAATAAAATGCATAGAAAACATTCCTCAATAAAAAATGTTCAAAGGTGCTTCAAATGAAACCAGTCACCAGTTAAGAAATAATAATCCTGTGTCATATCTGTGTCTGTTTGCCTGTCAGCAGAGTCTGTGTGCAGGGCCACATGCACATGTCCGTGTGTGATTAGAGTCGACGTGCTCCATCAGGCACCAGGGCATGTGATGGAGGCTCCTGTCAGTCTGATGTTCTTCTGCCTGTGTGTGCCAATGCAGATTGACAGGATTGTATGTTGGAGAAGGCCAGTGCTATATGGTTTGTTGTTTTGTTGTCATGCTTTTGGCCCCTGGGGGCCCCCCACTGCACCTCAGCAGAGCAACCGCAACCTTTCTCCCATGGCTGGTTGTTTACTCTGCACCAGCTCCGAGAATGAGAAGACATGTTGAATGAGGAGGAATCCGGAGAATGAAAAGAAGAGAGATCCATCATGCACATGTACAATCATTGTTTCAGTGAAGGAGGTGAGCAATAACAGAAAGTTGCTGAAGTTATCAAACAAACCATCAGCATTTCAACATTTCCCAGCTTCAGTCAGACGACAAGTCATGTGACACCGGGCCAGACAGTTTGGCTGCTTTTAAGAGACTGTCCTGTGATGGTGCTGGATGTCTCATGTCCCATCTCTGTGTCATATCCATTTCCCAGAGTAACTTCATTTGATGCACTCTCTCCGCTCACAGACCTGCACCAACGCTGCTCTCTCACTCTCCAGTTAGCTAACTTTTCAAACTGCCACACTCTAAAAGCCGTGGATTTGATTACAAAGTCTTTTTATTAGGTTTTCTTAATGAGTGCAGTTATGCTGCTGTGATTTTATTCTGCTGTCTTCGCCAAACTATATTAACATAGAACCAGGAAGTCAAGAGGACTCAAGGTGCTATTTATAAATGTGTGTGTCAAACGTCTGCAAGTTCAAACTGACTCTCTTTGAACAGTGTCTTCACCTTGTGCTTGTTTTCGATTTCCTGTTCATCACCTTAACATCAGTTATTTATTTATCATTACTTTTGCAATGGCTTCACATTTTACATGTGATGTATGATCTAGAAAGATACCATAGAGATAAACGACTTTACTTGATTTAATATAAAAAATAAAAACTGCAAATAAACATACATCTGGAGTTTATAGTTGTATACTTTGTTGGGCAACATGTTACTTAAACAGAGCTGAGTTATATTTGTCACAAAGACATAATTTTACTAAAGACATCAGATAGAGAGGACTGGCAGTGTAAGAACTCATTACAAACTCTAACATATTCCAGAATATCATTTTCTTAGTAGAGATTAGCTCAAATCTAATCCACTACTACTTATATACAATTCTTCTTATTATAAATCACAATTATTATAGTAATTTATAATACACCTCACGATATAAATCTGAGGGGTCATGGAATTATTGATGGGGAAGAAGAAAAAAAGAGAAAAAAACAATGAAAGGATCTCCATCAAACAAATCTGTATTTTGGACAGAATTTGTCTTTGTTGAACAGTTATTAAAAATCAACTCACAGAGCTCACTGTTTTGTATAATGCCAAAGAGGTTCAGATCTACAGGTTTCATTTTTCATGTATCACTGTGAAATATGTGTTTTAATGTAGAATTCTTCTACAAACACACAAGAAACAACATGTTTGTGATATTAAAAGTAAATAAATCCTCTAAAATGTAATTGGGCACACCATAAAGTAAATACTCTTGAATGGATCAGATAATACTGATAAAACTGTGTCTAATTTCACGAGAAGGATAAAAAGTTGATTTCAGCAAATGAAGCGCATGACCTGTTTCTCTGGAGTGTGATGAGGAACAGAAATACATCCAGTATTTACTCTGCTGGAGAACCTGTTGCTTCAATGGAGAGAAAACTCAGGATTGTTTGACAAGAAGCTCACAGATGAGGTGATTATAGAATAAACTGTCAATAAGTTGTCTGAGCTGCTGTGAACTCACTGAGAATCTATTCAGTTCAACCACCTGTAAAAACGAGTGCACTCTAAAGAGATCCATGTTAATGATCAGCAGTGACACAATCGATTTAGAGCTTCTCAATCAGCTGGAGCTCAGTGTTAAAAGATGTGTCTCCACTGACAGGTCCACCTTTAATCTTTACTATACCAACTCCTCCCACTGCTCCCTGTCATTTATGCAGGAGCAACCTCCTCCTCCTCCTCCTCCTCCTTGTTCTCCTCTGTGGAGCTGCTCCTCTCTGACTTTTCACAGTCCGATGCCCCAGCAGGACTCAGCGGTCATGGCCGGCGCTCTGACCCACCAGGGCTCCCCTAACCCGGGCTACAGCTCCAACAACAACGCCGTCCCGGTGCCGGCCATCACGCAGACGGACTCCAGGGACAAATGGAGCAAAAAGATGGATTTCCTCTTGTCTGTCATTGGCTTTGCGGTGGACCTGGGGAATGTTTGGAGGTTTCCTTACATATGTTATCAAAACGGTGGTGGTGAGTTGTGACCAGAGCTTCATTCGAAAAGTTAGGAATTGTTCAACCAGGAATCTTCTGTGTGGAGACGTTTGGTTTAAAAAATAAAATCATTGTCAGAGTTTTTAAATCGATCAAATATCAGAAATGATTTAAAATAGATAATAAAAAACTGTCCATGGTGCTGAAATGTGCGTCTGCTCGATGTTACAATCAAAGTTCACTAAAAAGTTCACTTTCCCACTTTTCCTGTGACACAGACTGGATCTATTTGGATCTGATCTCTTTTTAGCAATGATCTTTAGAAAACAGGAGCTTGTGAGGACGTGTGTTTTTTTGGGTGGAAAAATATTACAATAAATATCTTAACTTTTTTACATTTCTGCATTTATTAGAAGTTGATATATATTATATTGGGATACATTGTACTTTACTTGTACAGCAGCAACTGAGTGGTTACATCACAGCAGCCAATCTGGTTGTAAGAGATGACCACTTAAATTACATAAAAGGGTCAAAGGATAAGATTCAAAAGACAATTAAACGTATGAATATTGGACTGAAAAGCATGAGCAGAAATTAAAAGATTTAAAAACAGAATAAAAAATTTGCAGACTTTATCTTTTAATAGGAAAATACAACTAAATATAAACAACTGTCTGTTGAGTTCATTTCTATTTTTTGAAAAGAAAACATTAATTGTACTATGTCTCTGTTCTATTAGATTCAAGATTCAAGATTCAAGATGTTTATTGTCATGTACACAGCAGATAAACACAGTTTACAGCATA